ATTCTTTTGATGTGGGCTTCAGGAGACAGGTTTGGCGTGATAACAACTCCCAGATCTTTCTGTCCGTTTCGTGAAGGATTCATCTCCCATTTGGTATCCTGTGTCTGGCCTCCTATTTCCTCCTCCTAGTTTCATTACCTTGCATTTACTTGGGTTGAACTTTAGTAACCATTTGTTAGATCGTTCCTTCAGTTTCTCAAAGTCTTTATTCATACACCTGAGTATCGTTTACATCTCCAACATGTCCCCGTCCCCACAGGCTTGTCACTGTTGAGAAGTTCAGCTCTCTTTTAATTAATCTGTTCTTTTATCCCACTCCCGTCATTTCTTGGACTAGTCTTCCAGTGAATGTCTTGAGCTATGATCATATCTTTTCCATGGTTTACGGAGCGAGGACCCAAAGATGGCTCCATGCACCCTAGTGCTGAGTGTGACGGGCAAGTGTGTCGCAGTACCTGGAACATACCTGAAGAGGGTTTCGGGAGTTCTTGTACTCCCCGAGCCCGGCCTGAGGCCAGGCTCGAACCCCGATGTGACTGCGACTGGCAAGTATGTCGAAGTGTGACTGGCAAGATTTTGTCACAGTTACCGCTCATGTATAGGAGGGGGATAATTCTGACCTGGCGCCAGGCGCGATGTTCATCTGTTCAGTGAGCGTGTTGAACATTGTTTTGTTTTCGTAATGGTTCTCTATTTTGGGGCCAGGGTAGGAGGAGGGTCAACTTCGGGGCGGATGTTGGCGGCCTGGGGTACCCCCCTGCATGAACAGCTGCTGGGTGACCGTGGCCCGCATGGCCCCCATGACCCCCGTGGCCCCCATAGCTATGGCCCCCCGTGGCCCTCGTGATCTGACTTAACCTGTCCTACACCACCGGCTGTTGGGACGTGGCGTCTCATCTTGAGGTAGTCTTTCTAGCACTGGGTCAGTGTTTCTACTCCAAGCCACCAGGATTTAGCAGATCGATAAAATATCGATTGTGTGCCACACCTCGGTGGCTTGTTGTAGTTAGATGTTCAATGGGTGTATGTTTGGGGCGTCCTGGAACGCTTGAATTGTCTGATCATATGGTGGATGGTGTTTTGCAGCTCGTCTTAATGATATATTCTCAGTTTGCTTAAGGTTGGTTTTGTCATCTTTTGAACGTTTCCCCTTCCCGTCCGGTTCCTTCCCTGTCCTTCTCTCTTCGTTTCACATCTTTGGTCAGCCATCCCAGTCCTTCCCGTGTCCCTCCCACTCCGTCCTGTGACCCATTCTTCCACAACCCGTTTACTGCCTGCTTCCTCCCATCCATTGCCCGTCCCGTTACCCGTCCCACTGCCCATGTACGTCCCTCAGGTGTTGTAGACTCATGATTGGTCCGGGCGCAGCATTGGTGCGCCAGGCTTGAGACGAGCCCCTGGTGCCGCGATCATCTTCACATTGCTACCAAATGGAGATGAGATGGTAAAAACGGGCCCCAGAATTGCCATAAAAGAAAATGTTATTTATCCTAAATATGAGCTGACTTGTGCTTCGTGGAGTGGGTTGGTTTTTTCTTCTAACTTTTGACGTTGGAGATATACAAGATGGTCCTTAAAGCTGCCGGTTTCTTACTGATTTCTTACGATTGTGTAGTAAACAAGGTGTCGTATGAGGGTGTATTGACACTATTCCTTCCCCCTGTCCTCACACTTATTTCCCCTATTCCCAGTGGTAAAAGTGCGGTGGTTTATTCAAATAATAAGGCACCAAATTTTTGTGTTCACGCTTGCAACTCTTATGAGGCTTCCTGCACGGGCGGCATAGTCAAGTGAACGAAGGGACCAGTGTCAAATATGCAGTGGTGGTTACAGGGGCAGACCAGTCTAGGCAACCCACTTGACCTATCTAGGGTAGACCGCTGCAGATTGTACGCTTCTGAAACCTATGACGATGGATGACCGTATCCATCATTGAATCCAGCCACTCGTTCATCAGCAGAAGCCTCCTTCACTCTTGTAGCATCCTTTTCACTCTGCCAACACCCTCATTCAGTCTCCTAACACGCTTCTTCACTCTTCCAGCATCCATTGCTCTTCAAGCGTCTTTCACTCTCCCATCACCCTCTTTCTCTTCTGTTCCTGATTCTCGTGACATCCTGCTCTCCCAGCGGCGTCTCACAGCAGCTACTGCCAGCAGCATCTCAGAACCAACCATTCTTCTTCCTTCTATTCCAAGTCACCGATCACCCCCTGCTAACCCCGCCCACGGCCCGGTGGACCGGCCATCGCTCGCGCCTGGGAGCCTTGTGGGAGGCTGGCTGAAGAAGAACCTTGTGTAAATAACTCTTGCACCCAAGAGCACTGTGAGGAATGGGGAAGGGGGAAGGAGAGATGTCGCTTCCACGCCACAGGGTATGAGACGAAACACAGGTTACAGGACACAATCAGACACAATCATATAAGAAAAGCAACATGTAAAAGATCTGTGAATTGTGATATCTGACGACCTGACTTTTAGTGAACATAACTCAGTAAATATAGCGGCGGACGGGAAAATGATAGAATGGATTATGGGAATGTTCAAATCCAGAGACCCCACAACAATGCTAATACTTTTTAAATCACTGGTGCTGTCCCGTCTTGGGTATTGCTCGGTACTCACTTCCCCTTTCAGGGCAGCAGAGATCTCTGAAATAAAGGGAATACAGAGAACATATACGGTATACATATAAACGATAAAACATCTAAATTATTGGGACCGTCTCAAAGCTCCCAAAATGTACTCTTTGGAAAGGAAACGAGAAAGGTATCAAACAATATATATACATGCAAGATACTTGAAGGCCAGGTCCCAAATTTGCACAGTAAACTAACAACATACTGGAATGAAAGATACGGAAGGAAATGCAGAGTAGAACCAGTGAAGAGTAGAGTAGAGGTGCCATAGGCACAATCGGAGAGCATTGTCTGAACATCAGAGGTCCACAGCTGTTCAATACTCTCCCAACAAGCATTACAAATATTGCTGGAACAAAGGTGGATGTATTCAAGGGACACGTTGCACGCGGCTGCTCGCAGCCTGACGTATGAATCACAGCCTAGTTGATCAGATATTCTTTGGAGGTGTTTGTCGAGTTCTCTCTTGAACACTGTGAGAGAGAGAGAGAGAGAGAGAGAGAGAGAGAGAGAGAGAGAGAGAGAGAGAGAGAGAGAGAGAGAGAGAGAGAGAGGAGAGAGAGCTTTTGCGTACCCACAAAAGCTCTGAACGTTTTTCGATTGCTGTTAAAAAGCGTGATATTACAGTAATATAAGAAGTAAAGCAGGATTCTGCTGCCTGTTAGTGGAGGCTCCAGCAGACTGAAGATAATAATATGGCAAATATTTTCATCCTGGAAAAAATATTGAGGTTGTAAAATGGAATTGATCTACCATCCGTGGCATCTCCAGGCACATGCACTCCCGAATGAACCACCATGAGCTCAAAAAAGTAGGTTAACTACAAGCTCTTGTGTCTTGAGATTCCAGGGACCCGGGTGTGATCCCATTGCCTCAATATTTTATCACAGCTACATTACATTCTTGTGATTTTATTGTGCAATAATAAGCCTGCTGAATCGGTTTTGCGGAATCGCCATACATGTGACGCAGACGGATTGACAGAACAACTTGGTCAACTGACACAATGTAACGCAATTTTTGGTTCCCGGATGGTGAGTGTGTTCGCTGATTACTCATGTTTCCAGAGTTAAAGTCGCTATTATTCCCGTCAAACTTTGCTGTGACCTTTGCGCAGGACAGCTTAAGGAAGATGTCTCGAAGATACCTGAAAGCTGCCGACTGCATAAATAATAGCTGTGACACATTGTTTCGTAAGTCGGCAGCCTTCAAGTTCATTCAAGACGTCTTAGACTGTCTTAGACAAAAATCTAAACAAAGTTTAAGGGAAATAATAACGATTTTCTCTACTTTGGAGGAGATAGGGAAAGGTTAGAGAGGGAGGGGAAAAGATGGAAGGAGAGAGAGAGAGAGAGAGAGAGAGGGGGTAGGGTAGGGTAGGGGGAAAGAGAGAGGCACAGCCGGAGGCCCAATCTAGTAGATAATATGAGAAAGAGCGAAATAGCTTTGGGCGTGATCTCTATGAGCTACGAGCCTCTCACAAGGACCCTTCGCTGCGGCCCGAAGGCTCTCCTAGACAGTAATGAGTTATTTCTTGTGTAATCTGCGTCTGTGTACCCATCTCGCCTGAGGTCAACGTACGCAGTGGCGGCGGCCGTCCGCGGATAGTTAGTCATTCGTTCGTCGGTGGTTCTAACGATTGCCAGTCGAGTCTTACGTTCGTCGGCGTTCGAACATTCACCAGTCGTTCCTTACGTTCGTTGGTTCCGCAACTTTCAGTAAATGTTTCTAAGTCGATCGATCACACAATTTTTGTAATCCTACAAATCTTAAAAAAATGAAACCATTTATTTTGTTTCCTCCTCAAAAAAGTGTTTATTCTCGATCATTTATATATTTAATCATTGCTATACTGGCTTTTAGAAGTAAACAATAATATTTTTTTCGACGGGTGTAAAACCCAGCGAACTAGTTGACTGCGGAAGTTGCCGCACTCCAGATGGCGGGGCGGGCCAATTAAAGTTCAGGAGATGCTAAAAGATACACACAACGCTGTTCTCCAAACTATTTTTTGACACGTATTAAACGGTGGATTTGTGTGGTGAAAGCTCAAGTGTGTATTCTGCACAGAATACTGTATGATTCTGTACTGATTCTGTATTTAAAAAAATCATTCGTTTAGTACTGGAACCCGAGTCGTCTTGGTTTTGATGTCCTGCGTATTTGTTTACTTCTTAGTATTCACTGTTGTTTCTTTGGGTTAATGACCTTCAAGTCTCTATAAACTCGATTATTTTCTTATCCTCCCCAAGATCAATATGCTCCTGATTCTTGCACATCAACGTAACTTAAAAGCCGATATTGGCTTCTACGGCAAATACCAGACACTACAAATGATTTTTTCCTGGTTCTTCCTTCTGCAGGAGTGGGCTGAACACCAACAACAGCAGCTTAAGGGTGACCCGTCGCCTGAACAACGTGACCAAGGACTCTGGCGACACGGTCAAGCTCAAGTGTGAGTTCACCGGAGACCCTCCTCCAACCCGCTTCAAGTGGTACAAGAACGAGGCTCCCGTCATCGAGGAGAAGGGACGTGTTAATGACAGGAAGTAAGTGTGACTAGTTTGAAGTGACAGGAAGTGAGTGTGAGTGGAAGTGAGTGTGATTCTTGTGGCAGCCAGTGTGTGTGTTGTGGTGCGTGTATGTTGTGGATCTCAGGGCATATTGGCACGATCTCAGGATCTCAGAACGTACTCGACTCTCACAAGTCGAGCCTGGCCTCGGGCCGGGCTTGGGGTTACCTTACCTTGAGTAGTAGGAAGTTCTTCTACTCCATATTTGGGAGTAGAAGAACTCCCAGAACCCCATCAACCAGGTATCAACCAGGTATCATATTTGCACGAATATATAACACTGTCCTAAGTCCATACCTTACCTGCAAGGTAAGGCAAGGTATGGTTCCAGATTATATTGAAGTATTATATACAAACAATAAACTCGGTAGACTCTGTCAAAATCCAAACCCCTGACGACAGCAGCCATGACCCGACCCTCTTCTGGATGGTAACTATAGTTGAGCGAGTCCTCCTTCCCCCCCAGGTACCGGCTCAAGACTGACGGCCTGCAGGTGTACGGCACCAAACTGACCATCAAGGACCTGGAGATCCACGACAAGGGTTACTACAAGTGTGAGGCCACCAACGGAGAGGAGAGGGCCGAGTCTACAGGCATCCTTATCGTCAAACCCGGGCAATGGCGTAAGTCATTTTTAGCATTATTGTCTATATACTTTTTGATTTCGGAGTGTACTTGGCAAACCTAAAAGAGAGAGAGAGAGAGAGAGAGAGAGAGAGAGAGAGAGAGAGAGAGAGAGAGAGAGAGAGAGAGAGAGAGAGAGAGAGAGAGGCAGAGAGTATGACATAAACAACATGGCAGAAACCTGTGTAAGGAATCTTTCAGAACCTTGTATACCACATATGTAAGACCAATCCTAGAGTATGCGGCCCCAGCATGGAGCCCGTACCTAGTCAAGCACAAGACGAAGCTGGAAATGTTTCAGAGGTATGCCTGACAGCTGAATGAACCTTAAGTTCACTCTTAAGTTCCCTCTGATTGGAACCTTATTGCAATCTTTGCAAGGGATCTTGTAGGCACAGCTCAGCATTATTTTTGTAATAAGCAATGACTAATTAATCAATGTTCATTAGAATAAAACATGATGCAGATGGTGACAAATATAATATGGAAGTGAATATAGAAGTAACCCCTCCAGTGAGTCTGGATTGTGTCGTTTTCTCTAGTTTCCGTGTTGTTATGAACCCGTTTTCTGTCTTCCAGGCCGCGTGGACGAAGCGCCCGAGAGCAAAGCCAGCATCCCCAGCATGGAGGATCTGGGCGTACATTTTCCAAATCTGCCTGCTGGCAAGTAAGTAGTAATTGTTTCAAAATATATGTATTTTCTTTTACAAGAGTGACCATTCACCTGAATTATAGTCTTAAGGCATCCCATGTAAGTACTTTATATATTTTTTTGTTATCGGAAAACCTCTGAAGTTACTGCATCACCTCTTCATAAGCAAGGTCTTAAGTATTTTAAAAAGGCATTTTGATGTAACTTGTAAATAGAATTTACTTGTAAATGTAAATTGATCATCCCAGCTGAGTGTATAGGGAGTGAAGTGAAGGATCTAGTGTACAACCGAGCGAGGTGTTGACAGCGGTACGTCAGTACAGCACGCCTGTACGATCAATACAACCCGCGATATTCGGCTTGCACGTAATTATAGTTTCTATTGCAATAAATTACCTTGGAACGGCAATGTTGCTCGATCGAAGTGAGGGGTTTTTCTCGCCAATGTTATGGAAAGCAAATACAATATGGGAATTAAAGCGACTGAAGGGAAATTATCCATCGATTTGATTCTAATATTTTGTTATAAAAGGAAGATTAGCGTTAAATATCTAACAGCAAAGGATAGTTTGAGCCTCCACAGACAAGCAATAACAATAGGAACGGAGCCTTGTGAATAAGAGAGATTCCAGTTAGTCCTCCAGTCAAAGGATATATATGTATTATATATACATACATACACTAAGGGGTATATACATTTCTGAGTATAAGCTAATACATAATGAAGATAGGTTGTTTGGCCACACTGGAACTATGGCCGTCGTGAGGAGTTTAAGGAGAGAGAGAAAGAGTGATAGGATAGCAATACAGATAGATTAAGGGTAAAGGGAGAAAGAGAGAGAGAGAGAGGAGGGTGGGATTTGCTGTAATTATTTACGATAATTTGACCACGAGGATTTCGATAGTGACTTTAATGTCCATTAATGGGCCAACCGTTGCTTGGATATGGGAACCGTGTTTCAATACATGTACAGCTTTGCGGGTATCACACAAACACACACACACACACACACACACCGTGTGTGTGTGTGTGTCTCCGTGACTGAGGGGCGCCGTGGCTGAGTGGACAGCACGCTAGATACGTAGTCCTGTGGACTGGGGTTCGATTTCCGGCACCGGCGGGAAACTATGAACAGAGTTTCTTTCACCTTAATGCCCTGTCACATAGCAGTAAACAGGTACCTGAGAGTTAGACAGCTGTTACGGGCTGCTTCCCGGGTGTGTGTGTGTGTGAAAAAAAATAGTAGTAGTTGATTGACAGTTGAGAGGCGGTCCGAAAGAGCAGAGCTCAACCCCCGCAATAACAACTAGGTGAACTAGGTGCACAGACACACACATTGCCAGCCGGTATAGCGACTGTACTCCTTATTCCCCAAGAGGTTCATTAATAATAAAACAGAGGCTAATTAATACAACCCATGTGTGAGTGTGAGTGTATATACACCACGGAGACTGCTAATGTTTGCAGGGAAGGGTGCTTGTGAGTACGTACGCGCAGGGGATTGGTGTTTGTGTTTGAGTTGCATGACTCAGGACAATCCATAAGGTCTTCCGACCACCTACGTGTCTGCTACCGTCTCCTGGGTGAGCTTGCCCCGTCTTTACGAGTGAGACGGTCCCCGAGCTCTGTCACCTATTGTGTGCCCGTCCTGCGAGGAGAGGGCGTCGAACCCTGGGTCTACCTTACACGTCAGCTTAGCACCCATGACCAGGGTAACGGCAGAGTGTGTGTGTACACATATAGAGATGTAGTTTAGTTCAATAAATATTGAATGTTTATCATTCTGACCCATGTGAGGCAGCTCCTGTTGACCCATGTGAGGCAGCTTCTATTAACCCGTGCGAGGCAGCTCCTGTTGACCCATGCGAGGCAGCTCCTATTGACCCGTGCGAGGCAGCTCCTATTGACCCGTGCGAGGCAGCTCCTGTTGACCCATGCGAGGCAGCTCCTGTTGACCCATGCGAGGCAGCTCCTATTGACCCATGCGAGACAGTTCGCATTTTATACACACACACTCAAACTGAGTAATGTTGTGCTTAACACTTTCGCGCTATCTGGACGCGCCGGCGCGTCCGGTTTCGTCTAACGTAAACGCATAGTGGACATAAAGTTATGTCTTCTTTTAAAATATTTGTATAAACTGAGTAATGTTGTGCTTAATACTCAATCCGCTCTCATCATTTGACAAGGGTCTAATTTGCGGTGCTTTTGTATAACTATAAGCGTCCGAACCTAGACAAACCACACGAAATGTCGAGGTCGATGTGTATTCAAGAATTCGTACAAAATGAGTCAATTCTGTTAAACTAAATCGCCTCAGTTTAAATGCTGCTGTTCATAGCGTCCAAATTCAGGTGCATTAAGCCTACCATTATCGTGTCCAGCATGGATCATTATCGAGTTCAACTGGGGACCGTTAATGAGTCCAGCTGTGACCATTGTCTAACCCAGCTGGGATCGTTGTCCAACCGATATCGATGTTTCACCACTATCTTCTCTCGTATCTGCCCCTTGTGTTCAGACTCTATAAGTATGGCAGAGAATAAGTCCCTATACCACGGCAGGGACAGAACACCCTACACACCTGGGTGTGGAGTGCAGTGTGCTCTGGTCTGCGTGCTCTGGGTGCTCTATCGGGCATCGTGAAATCCCGCGTTCCGGGAGGGAGTGTGTGTCTGGAGCGCCGTCAACCAAAACCCCCTAGCTGAGGTCATAACGCCTCCCTCAACAGGATTTAAGAGGATAATTACGCTCAGGATGGGACTAGTGTGTGGGGTCTGCGTAGGGGAGATCTGCGTAGGTGAGGTCTGCGTAGGTCTGTTGCATCTGTTGGCTAGGAACACAACAGGGCTCGTCTCACCAGTCACCGAGGAATGTCTGTCTTCCAGTGTCTCAATTAATTCTTAAGATAAAACAACAATATAGAGAAAAAACAAGAGGATATGTACGACTGCTATCGTGATCTTGACAAAAAAATAAAAACGGAACACAGTTAACGAGACTGAACTGGTGGTTGAGATGACGTCTGAAAGGCTGACTGTGGAAGCCTGAAGCGGATGGAAGCTGGGAACTAAGAAGACATTCCTATAACCATAGACGTTTCCCTCGTCTTTTGTGTCAGGGGAATGTTAGGAGACAAATAGTGAGTCAGATATTTATGCAAATTAGTTAATTCGGGGATACGAAATTAAAGATAGAAAACGCTATAATGAGAGAATGAAATCAAAGGCCATAATAGTGGAAAGAAAGGAAAGGCTCAAACGTGAAAGAAAGTATGTGGATAATAAAATAAAAAAGCGATGCAGCAAAGTGAGAGAAGGAGAGTAAGGTTGTTGGAACCTTGTTCCATAGGTGGCCAGCCTCTCCCTTTCCTTTCCTGGCCCTATCCCTCTCTTCCCATCGTGGCCCTATCCCTCTCTTCCCATCGTGGCCCTATCCATCTCTTCCCACCACCGCCCTGTCCATTTCTTTCCATCATGCCCCTGTCCATCTTTAGCCATCATGGCCCCTGTCTATATCTCCCCTCGGTGTTCCTTGTGTCTCCCCTTCTGGTGTCTTGTTCTATTCCTCCCTCGAGGACGACTCAGACCGCCCCTGTGTGCTCCAGACACTCCCAGGACACCACTAAAGAGACGCATCAAGTCATACCGAACCCGCATATTTTCCTCTCAAATGTGAACCTCTTTACAGAGGCCGTGGCTGCCCGCATAAGGAAAGGAACTCCCTCGGTGGAATCTTATTTGGGTTTGTGCTCGTCCACCCACCCTTCCTTCCTTCCTTCCTTCCTTCCTTCCTTCCTTCCTTCCTTCCTTCCTTCCTTCCTTCCTGTCCGACAAGATGAGAGGGAGCCTGTGATTTGTGTCAATTTATTACACAATTTTCCTGGGTTATTACTTTCCATTGTTGGGACCTTCCCTCTGATCTCCCTGTTGTATATGAAGAGGAAAGCGTGTCGCCTCGCTAATCCGGAGGGGCAGAGGGCTGTTTGATAAGCCTAAAGTGCCTCACGCTTTCAAACCGGTGTTTGTTTTTGATAAGATTTCTATGGACGATGAATATTAAGTTGTACCTTATGATACGCGTTTGCAAATCCGCGCTAGAGATTTGAAGTAAGTTTCCTCCCCCATATGGAAAGCGTAGCTGATATGACTACCACCCAGAGCTTCTGTAAGAGAAATATTCTACCTCTCTTATCATCAGCTAAGACACGAAGGCTATGGCAATCGCAGAGATAAGGGAAGCAAGAAATTAACAAGGGAAGGGGCGAGTGCGCCTGAGGGAAGAGTTACATGGGGGCGGCGCCACGCCCAGCACCATCGCGGGGTCATTCATTTCCATGTCTCCCGATTTACTTTCTTTTCCCCCCAATTTGTTCTTATGGTTTATCTTTCCTGTTGGGTATTTTGCCTACGAATCCCATGTTGGATGACAGCTAGTGGGCTCGGGCGCTCGTGACGCGAATAATGGAAACTGCGTGGGCAAGGCGGGACATGTACCCACTTGACGCGCGAGAATATTCAGGAGGCGCCCACGTATGGCGAGGGGATGGTCGATGCCACTGCAACCCTCAGGCTTTCCGTATGGTTTTTATCGCTGTCGTTGCTTCAGTCGTCGTTATAAGGGGTGTCGCGATCTCATGTTCAGGGGTAAAGCTCGCTGCCAGCTGAGTTTGACTCTGGGCAGGAGTTCTGTTGGGTTAGTGTGTGTGTGTTTTCACCTAGTTGTGTTTGCGGGGGTTGAGCTTTGCTCTTTCGGCCCGCCTCTCAACTGTCAATCAACTGTTTACTAACTACTTCATCCCCCCACACCACACACCCCCCCCCCCGCCCCCAGGAAGCAGCCCGTGACAGCTGACTAACTCCCAGGTGCCTATTTACTGCTAGGTAACAGGGGCATTCAGCGTGAAAGAAACTTTGCCCATTTGTTTCTGCCTGGTGCGGGAATCGAACCCACGCCACAGAATTACGAGTCTTGCTCGCTATCCACCATTCAACCAGGCACACCTACCAGGTGT